AAAAAAAAAAAAAAAAAAAAAAAAAAAAAAAAAAAAAAAAAAAAAAAAAAAAAAAAACTAAAAGGGATGAGAATTTAGCTCAACTTGCGACTGACTCCAAAACTCGCATCCGACGAAACTTATTTTCCCTCCCATGCATGTACCCGAAACGAAATAAAAAAAAAAAAAAAAGAAGGAGGGAGGGAGAAAATTTTCAAAGCCCTCCGCACGTCTTTGCCAAAAAACTCATTCTACCAATGATGAACTTTTCACGAGATATGGCACATGTTGTAAAAAAAAAAAAAAAAAAAACAATAATTCAGTGGCTCGGGCAAAGTTACCTCGGCACTATTCGTCATCGCGACGCGAAATATTCGACAGGTCGAAACAGCTGCCGAAGTACACGGATATAACTACTCGGTCAATTTATTCGAAGCGACATCGGCTCACCGTCGGAAGTCGCAGTGAGATTTAAGAGGTCTCGAGACGATGAGGTACCTATACACCTCGCAGTCGATATATCATACACGCCGTGACGTGCATATAGACGAGGAAAAAAACTTTTATAGAGACACACGCGTAAGTACACGTGTATATATATATATGTACATACTGGAAATTATTGATGCATCGAGAAGAGCCGAGCGAAAGAGCGAGGAAAAAAAAAACAAGAGTCGGAGGGAAGCGTATATCGGCAGAGGGGGCCTCCTTGGAAAAGTTGGCTCGAGCCAGCTTCCGCATGGTTTAACGTCGTTACGAAGTTGTTGCGTCGGATCGGCTTTCGATGCGTATATGATGAAAGCCCGGGGTGAAACTACCCCTTTCCCGAGAGGAAGATTCCAACGTGTGCGTTAAAAGAGGCAAGATCGCGTCTCCCCCCCTAAAAGAAAAATGATAAGCTCACGTATGAATTTATACTGTATACCGATATGCATGTAGTAGTTGGAGAGGGAGTTTTTCCGCTTTTGTGCATTCTTTCGAGCCGACCTTCGCTCGCGGGTTGGAGGTACGCCCTTTTGCTAATTAATACCTCTTTAAACTTTTTTTTTTTTTTTTTTTCTCAATTTTACAGTTGTGTGGCGTACGCGAACACTTGGAATTTTTAATACCAACGTGCGCGGTCGCGTGATTTTTTTCCCAGTGATACCGCACCACGAGGGTGTGTGTATAATACTTGGTGAAATTTTTAATGAAAATTTTATGAGTTTTCGCGTGGGTGGAAAAAAAAAAGTTTGTAATATGAAATTCCACTCCATTCGCGGAATTTCGTAAAAAAAGTTTTAATTAAATTACGGACGGATTGTAACGTTACGAAAAACCAGATGTACACGTGCGAAAAATGTTCGTTTACTTTGGCGATCGAATGCATACTACGATGGAAAATTGAAAAACCTTGTTTGTACGTTCAAAAGTAAAACAGAAACGATAAAATGCTTTTAACGATTTCCAATAAAACAAGTTACACCGTTTTTTTTTTTTTTTTAGTTCCAGTAATAAAATATTTATTGGAATGTTTTTTTTTTATAAAAAAATAAAAAAAGAAATATTGCTAAAACATGAATAAAAATAATAGTGTACGCGTTACCCAGCGCTAAAGCTGTTGTACATAAAAAAAAAAAATTAACTTCGAGAGCGGCTGTTTGCGAAGGGGTGGTATTTATATTTTCCAGCATCATACAGGGTGAAGAGAAATACAATACGTATGAAACGGAGTTTTTAGTTGAATTGAAATTTAAAGGTCGCGGCTGCAATAGGCAATATTATAGCAAGTCGTGTCGACGATTCTGGTGTGTGTTTTTTGTGACTATTTCAAAGTACTGACTAGTGTCGTACCATTTTTAGAAAAAGACAATCTTTAAAGGGGAGGAGGGCGTGAATTAAAAAAAAAAAAAAAAAAAAAACAATGCAAATAAGACCTAAGAATATTAATTTAGTCGAGCGGAAAAATATATCAGAAAATTTTTCAATTCCGGAATTGTACGTAGTTTGCAAAAAATTATTTGCTATTTTGATAAACAGAGCTAACGTCATAATACTGTTCCATGCAAATTATTGTGCACATTGTTACAGGTATCGTCCATATAAGTACACATTCTACGCATACTAAAGTTTTTTTTTTTTTTTTTTTTTTTTTTTTTCGTTTGACATGCAATTTGGTGCTTTCTAGTCTTATATAATACAATTGAGCGTAGTGAGAACTTGCCGCTACCACTGTACGTATACAATTCGACAACTTTCTTTTTATCATCAGACTCTCAAAAAAGTGGATCAACGCGCGAGTAGTAAAAATAGTTTACAACCTTCGGTTTTATCGTTCAAGTTGGCTTTTTAGCATCAACTTGTCTTTAGAGACCTTTACAAGTTTTTACTTTTATTTTCTTTGTTGTACACACGTGTAATGTATGTTTGAAAGTTAAATTTATGATTACATACGTTGAATTTGAAATTGCTGTTTTCTTTTTTTTTTTGACAATGTTAAATTTAAGTGTCAATGACAGGGTTGTGTAATATTTCACGAGTCCTGTACGCGCCACACGCAATTGATAGATTAACTTTAAAAGAAAAAATTTTTATACACTCAATATCCCCATTGTTTTTTTTTTTTTTTTTTTCAATCAAGAGTAAAAAGTCTTGTTCAAGCCAGAGCTAATTTTCAAATTTGTTATTTATTATCCGTGGGGCTATCAAACTGTCTTCAATTTATCTACGTCGACGTAACGTGTTATAATATCATCTGTTGGGGCGATCGACTTTTAAAATTCGTTTCTCGAGCAATGTGATTGTAAATACTATTTCGCGTATAATTTCACGTCCAGCACGATTTTATTACTTTTGCGCTGCAAAGGGGGGGGGGGAGAAACATTTTCCCATTACTGTATACGTATATAAAGTTACCGGGGAAGCGAAATGGACGTTTACGATGATACATCTCGCGGTAAATAGAATTTCAAGAAAAGAAAACTTTTAGTAGCTAGCGCTAACCCCCCCCCCCGACCGAGCGATGAGAAAAAAAAAAAAAAAAAAAAAAAAAAAAAAACTAAAAGGGATGAGAATTTAGCTCAACTTGCGACTGACTCCAAAACTCGCATCCGACGAAACTTATTTTCCCTCCCATGCATGTACCCGAAACGAAATAAAAAAAAAAAAAAAANTGTCAATGACAGGGTTGTGTAATATTTCACGAGTCCTGTACGCGCCACACGCAATTGATAGATTAACTTTAAAAGAAAAAATTTTTATACACTCAATATCCCCATTCGTCTCTTTTGGTTTCGATAAAAATTAAAAAAGCAATATTCATTGCTTTTGATTGATGAATTTTTCCTTTCACGTTACAAAAATAACAAGGTATTGATTTTATAAATAACACAATTCATTTTCAACTTTTCTAATTACAAATTCTCGATTTTACTATTACGTAAGCTATATGGGTAAGAAAATATATACCTTAATTACAAATTTTTCAATTTATGAGTAATTAAACTTTTCCAATTCCACATGAAATCAGTACTGCGTGGTTGAAAAAATTTTATTCAATTGCAAATTAAAAAAATAAATTATTTCACGAGTGGATCCAGCAATATTATTAACAACCCTGTTTACTGAACTGTTTACTTTGTAAATATGCACATAACGATGTTGACGAAGAAAAAGAATGTCCAATTTCGATAGGAATCATGTAGATTTCCAAAGCTATGTATATACATATAACATGTAAGTTTGTAAATATTGCGAAAAAATACGCCACAGTTGATTTTTTTGACATGATAAAAATGATCTATACTGTATGTGTTTGCGGTAAGAAGAATTCGTGCATGTGCATCAAGAATATGGTGATTTTATGGTGGCAAGAGTCATATAGATTCTAATACGCATATATATATATATAATATTAATAATATAAGGTTTACGTATACATAAGGTGTGTATGTACAGTGAGTGAATATATAGTAATAATAATAATAATAATAATTATGGTGAGTGGAGGAGCGCATTTGCCAACGGCTATTCACATGTGGCTTTCATATGGAGTATAAACGTATATAAATATTGTGCGGACGTTTGATGCATTCACGGTGATTGCTATATATCGGAAAAAAAAGTCAATTCTCATTTATACTGTAATATTCGATACGAAAAATGTGAATAGCCGCTGTGTGTCGGGGAAGGGGACAAATATATAATACGTGTATGCTCAGCCAGAGGGGAATGGGGGGTGAAACAGAGAGACAGACACATGTCTTTCAAACATTTGAAAAGTAGGACTAGGGATTCAAATCAAGAGGAAAGGAGGGGGTCGTAGAGAGAGAAAAAAAAAAAAAAAAATGAAAAAGAAATGTTGGACGTTTGGTGGTGCACATCGCTCCTCTCTAAAAAGCTAAGTTCGCGTGAGTTGTAGCCAATCACAGGTGCTGATCAGTGAAGTAATACGGCCGGCCAGTCAATAGCGAGCCGTGGAGCTATCCTCCACATTATATATAGAAAAACGTCACACAGCAGGCTTCTTTTTTTTTTTTTTTTTTGTCTGTTTTTCTCGCCCGCTTTGTTCACGCTTCAATTCAAAAAGCTGAGCTTTTTTTTTTCAGAGAGAGCAGCTTACCAAATGGGACTCTGGGCTGGTAAAGGTGACCACGGTGCCGTGAAGTCGCCGAGTGTTCACTGTCGCCGATGACTGCTCGTGCGTGTGCGCGTGTTTGACAAGAGGATTCGCGCAAACGCACACGCGCACCGAGAGAGACAGAGAGTGACAGGGTCAGATGTATAACGAGACACAAATATAATATAATATACATCATAATCGTTCGTTCGTTCGTTCGTTTTTGTAAGCGAGCGATACACATCATCAGATATCGCGAGAGTAGTGGTGATGGTAGATTGTAGTGGACCGTGGACGGCGATCACAATCGAGTTTGGTTCAGTTTCAGCCCACAGTTGATTGGCCGACCACGAGGTTATCACACGCGCAGGCACACATGTACACATTGGTTCAATTGATTCATGGATTTATTTTTCATGTACAATATTAATAAATATGCATCATAATGTATTAATGTATATATTAATTACTATTTTCTTCGTCACTCCAGGTCAAACTCATTGGCTTTCAATGTTCATTACAAAACTACAAGTCCTAAAATACACTTTGATTTATCGTCAAACAAACGTGTTACACACCCCACGCGTTTTATGCGTGCTTATCTGAAGAATGTATCGTCAAAAAGGCCCCCCTTCCTCAATATTATCGGAGCGGGAATCAACCGATGAATAATCGAAAAGCTTTTTCCCGCGCATCATCAGCCGCATAAAACACCAATTGATATAAACTTTTCAAAGCGCGAGTATACCCTCACGACCCGCCCAATATATCGGCTAATCTTGTTAAAAGCCCGCGATGATTATATTTTTGTGCGAGTGACGTTGCGCGCGGTGTCGGCGAAATTGCGAATCATTGGTATAATATACCATCGAGGGCGCCGTTCCCCCGGGATTTTTATACCCACAAGCCGCGCGCGAGGGAATCGTTGGATGAGGGTGCGATGAAAAAAAAAAAAAAAGGAAACATTCGAAAAAAACAAACAAACGATTTCACTTGCGATTGCGTTTTCCATTCGACTCATCCGGGGCGACGATAAAAGACCGGGTACAGGTATTGCAGTGCGCGCGATGAAAATTCTCGAGTGGGTATTATATATATATATATGCACGTACAATTGTAATTTAAAATAAAAGTAAAAAGTGCTCTTGCGCGTAAATTGCGACGAGCAAAGACTCCCCGAAGAGAAAAGAGGTTCCGCGAGAGTTACCGGTGACTGCAGTCTGGGGCAAGCGAATTTACTCCGATATGACGTGTAGGAAAAGGTATACACAGCGCGCGCAACGGTATATACACGGTTGAGGCGGACGCGCAGGTTTTTCTCTTTTAGAGAAAAAGAAAGAAAAAAAAAAGAGATCCGGGACGAGGGAGTCGCATAAATGTAAGGACGAAAAACACCCGCGTAGTTTTTTCGAGAAGGAAAAGAATGGAAACGCGCGATTTAACGTGGCACTACCTATGCTCACATACGGCATATAGGGACAGTGTATACGTGGGACACACTGTGGGAAGAGAAAGATAGGGGGAGGGCACGCGTATATATACACATAGGAATGATTTGCGAGTTACGGATGGGGGATGGGGGAGGGAAGATTTGAAACTTTTTTTTTTTCCAAGCTTGTCACGCGCGCGCCGGAGTTTTGAGGAACCGATCCCTCGTGAAATGGAGCTCCGGGGGAAGATTTGCGCGCCCGGAGCAAAGAAAAAAAAAAAAAAGAGAGAGGAGCCACGCTCTTTTGCACTTTCGCGGAAATCCACTCGCGAAATCGGTGTAAGTCTCGCGAGCCAGGCCCGGAATATTAATCGGCCGGAGAATGGCGGAAATCGATGCGGGGGCCCAGAGGGGGAAGATTAAGTCGGGCCAATTTGCGCGGCGCGCGCGTGCCGAGACGCTACATACATATATACACAACTTTGACTCTTGGTGTTATACATGTACGAGTACGTAAGTATATAGGTATATAGGGGGTGCGGTGTGTGTACACGACGCCGAGCGAAAATACTTTCGAGAGTTCCGAGGAGCTGACGATGAAGATCAGGAGGCGCGCGTTGCAGATCGCGATTGAGTTTGCCCCCCGAGCTATACACATACACTGGCGCTGAAAAGGGGAAGTAATGCTTACTGCGGGGGCAGAGGGAACATTGAAACGAGCCACGATCGAGCCGTCGATGAATGAATAAATCACGGGCACGTCGCGTCTCGCTGTATAGGAGCGGGAAAACGCTTGCTCTAATCTTTTCCTTTATTCGCGGCGTTCGGTCGGAGAGCCGATTTTATCGCAACGTGCTGCAAAGTAACAACTCCACATACAGTACAATAATACTATACAATAGTAGAAAATTGTTGAAACAAAAAAAGTGCAATTCAAAGTATACACAAGCGATATCCGTGTCAGCAGAAGAGGGGGTGGTGGTGGTGATCAAAGGGAGCTTTCGAGGTGTAGTATAATTATTGATACCATGTCCGGGTGAGCGAGCGATTCTTCAGATAAGCACATACATAATTACAATGTACAATTTATCGTACCCAAACAACAAGTGGTCTGCAGTCGGTATAGGATATACAACAATATAAATATAATAGTAGTAATGAAAAAAAAAGGTATAATAACAATGTAGCATCAACTGTGACAAAAAGAAATAATAACGATACTGAAATAAATGGATGATTGTAATCAATGTAGTAAAAATATGTATTACGTGATGTATATAAAAAAAAGCTGTATAACGAGCGCGTTGCTCGCATATGGAAAGTGAGTGAATATCGGTTCGAGAGAATACATACAGTTATAAAAATGGATACAATTGTATATGGCAGTAGATATACGGTGACACAATATTAAAATATAGTACTCAAGTCGGGGGGGGGGGGGTGTTATATAAGGATCAAATGTATAAAAGAGATAAAAAGATAGAGGGAACGAATGACGGCGTCGGGGGAGGGGGTGTAAGAGTAATCGCGATTAATAGCGGCAACAACTATAATAATAATAATAATAATAATAATAATACATATATATATAAATATTATGTATAATCACAATGTCGATGGTAATGGTAATGATGATAAAAAAGTAATGGAGCGATGGAGGGATTTGGAAAAAAGATTACTCACCAGATGGGAGTCCCGAGTGGTGAAGGTCACGGAGTCGGAGCTCCGGGGTTCCTTGCACTGGAACACGATCTTGCCCCAGGCGGCTGCACCCGGGGTACCGCTCAACGTCGCCTGGATCAAGTCAAGCCGCGTCTTCTCCGCATGGAACTCCACCTAAACGACAAGTCGTTCGTTGTGTTATGATACATGTTTCGTGTTGCTCGACCAATATATATATTTATATATACGCATGTATTTGCGATGGCCCACCTTGCGCATGCAGCCGATAAAGTTGAGGGTGCCTTTGGAGCCCTGGGTCTGGACGCTGAGCTCCTTGGCATCGACGAGGCCACCCCCGACAAAGAGCCTCTCACTGGCCAGCCTCGTGAACGAGCCAGCCGTGTGCCCGTGTCCCGCGTAGAATTTGTCCACCGTAGCCGTTAGCTGCAAAACGGAGAGAAAGACCGGATCAGTCGCCGGATTAACTTAAAGCTACATATACACAATGAATAAGAGATTATAATGCAATGTATCACGAGGGACAACAACAAGTAGGTATCGGAGGCTTTGTCTCTTATATTATTTTCATCTTCGATGTGCGCTGCCGTTAATTTTTCTCCAAGCTCCTTTCGTTAATCCACTTTTGTTCAATCCCGTGGCCCTCCCCCTCTTGGGCCACCATGGGTATAATATTTGAGCCCAAAAAAGTGTCGGGAGACAATGGATTTGTTTATTCATTGCTCCGCAAGTCCACCGGGCATCCGTCGATGAATTCTTAAAGATAATCCTTCCACCGAGTAGGGTATATATTTATACCCTTGAGAAAAAAAAAGAAACTATCGGGATTCGCTGTAATGTATATATTACAATTAGTCACCCGTTTGTCGATTAACCTGATTCCCGCCGAGTTGTGTATACACATCCAGGGGGGAAAAAAAATCCGGGGTCGCGGCGGCCAATGCCCGAAGAGAGTACAATAAAATATTCAGCGGGCCACCAGCTTGTTTTAGCTCGGGCGCGCTTGGAAAGCAAATTTTCGCGCCGGTCCATCATCATCGTTAGCGGCCCTTCAAAACCTTTCAAGACGAATGAGTCGGAGGGAGCTTCTTGTGCGTTCCCGAAACTTTGGATATGCCGACCCATCCACTCGGCGGATGAAGAGGGCCTACAGGGCATCAGACGTCGGCAGCAGACAGATGTACTTTTACACGAAGCGGAAGAAGAAGAAGAAGAAGGAGAGGCTCTAATGCCATCAGCCGGTGGTTATGCTCTTTGTGCGAGTGGCTGGTGCGCGTGTATACGTACACATCCTCGAAAGGCGCGCGCCGGAAATTAGAGGAATCGCTCTCGAGAGATGGGAGAGGAGATAGCTCGACCCCCTGCCGCCGCGTGGATGTAATTAAAGAGACTTGACTCGATTTTCATCGCTCTAAATTTTAAGTGCAGCTGCTGGCTGCCTCCATCGAAGCCCCCCCCCCCAGGAAATGGAATCGTCACTCCTTCCCTGTGATATATATGTACACACCTTGGGTTTATACCCTCGATATCTTTATTTCTCGGTCGAGGGAAGGCATTTATCAAGCCGATGCCTCTCCCCGCGGCGAAAATTGGGAACGCGCGCGCCCGCGCGAATAATTAAAGGGAAAATATGATACACGCGTGTGTATACCTCATTATAAGGGCTCCATTTGTTCCATGAGAATATACACGTATAAATATAATACTGTACTCGCTCTCGTTGCCGATGTTATTATAATTCAATACGCGTCGAGAGGAAACGCGATAATTAGTGCGAGGGAGCGCAGGAAAATTATGGCTGCATCGGAAGCGCGATGCAAGCCAAGTGCATCGCCGCGCGTGAATGGAGAAGGGGGGGGGGGCGGTGAGCCGGCATCAGGTAATGCATTGCGGTTTAGTCATCGTTTCATTAATTTCCGCGCTGGCTTCTCTCGCCGAGAGGTACTAAACCGTCTCGATGCCACCCCCACCATCGCGTATACACACGACAATGATATTAAAGTCGCGTATAACTGCGCCACGGGTGGCTCTTTGTTTTTGTTCTACGAGTATAGCACTTTTAAGTGACGATCGGGCGTATACAATCGGTCGAAAAAAATTGCTTTCGCTCTCAACGAAGCTCACATGTATACATGAACATCGGGGATTCCCCTTGTAGGTTTGAAGAGACGAGGGGGAGAACTCTCGCGACGATTTCCTTTGATTCTCCTTCGAGGGTATACTTTAAAATAATTAACACCGATCTACATTACGTATATAGAGGGAGAAAGAGCAAGAGGAGAGAGCAGAGGGGAAAGTATAAATAACAATCGATCTGAGTGAGGATTTGTGCGGGAATCCGAATGAAGATAATAAGAAGCTTCCTTTCTTCCCGGGGCTCGGATTCTTATCGGGCACTGCGAGCCTTTAAAGTTCTTGGGATTTTTTTTATTTTCCTTTTTTTTTTTTTTTTTGGAGCAGAGGGAGGGGGGGCGCCGATGCTCACGCGAATCGAAAGGTTCAACGGAGCCCTGAGATATGAGGGGAGCCCTAAGCCGACATTTTTCCAACGTTTCAGGTCACAGCTTTTATCTCTTCACGGTACAGAGGAGTAAAGAAAGAGCCGCCGATCGGGAGAAAAATGCGCTCCTCGAGAGGACGCCCACGATTGGTGTGCAGGCACTTAATTATGACCCCCCCCCATTCCCCATTTTAGCTCTACTCGACGGAGTGCCGAATCCATTTTTATTCACTATCGTGTCCTCGATGATAATGCCAGTAACTAGCTCTTTTTTTGTTTGTTCTCAATATGATAACTTACCCTGCAAAAATTGGTCACCGGGGATATCTGCAACAGAGGAAACAAAAAATAACAAACATTTTACTTTCTTCCCATAGTCGGTTGAAGGAAACTTTGGGTGTCTCGCAACTTTGAAAAAGACTCCGATGTATATATATATATACACGTCGCGTCGAAAGTCCCAACTCGCGGGACAGAGTGAAGCAAAAAACTGCATAAAACCGCTAGGTCGTTCGCCAACGCTATCATCGCCGTCGTAATAATAACGTCGTCATGACTCGCGCGACCGGAATCGAATAGCCCGCACAACTGCACCGAACAGCTACTCTATACACACGCAAACGAAGCGATCGAATAGCTCCAGATTGAAACTGTCAAAGTTGGAGGCAACGGCGGGAGTCAGTCCCTCTTCTGCAAGTCGACTGCATGTGTATACACACACGTATGAGCAAGCTATTACCGCGTCTATACGCGCCGCGTAAAGGACGTGGATGTATATGTCCTTTGAAATTTCACGCTGGCTCGACGTTTTTATAATGGGCTTTTTGAAATCTCCGATATGGCATCGATTCCCGGTTTCCGCCAACGCCGCGGGTATATAAAAACTCGGGTCTTTTACAACGTACGACACGAGCTGATGGGTACACGTGACACTTGTACTTGATACGTGTATGAGGAAAAAAAAAACAAAAAAAAAACGGAGAAGTAGAGAAAAAAAAACGTACCTCTTGGACTATCCTGTTGACCGCGACGGTGTGCCACTGATTGTCATCGAATCGTATCCTGGCGGGTTTTATGTGCAGCTCGAGCCTACCCTTGGACAGTACCATGGCAACTGACACTCCACCGTCCCTCAGGGACACAGCCAGGTGGTCCTGTCCGTGTCCTGCAACAGATGAGCGTGACACACGCGTTACATTCACGCCAGATACCTACACATCATACATGAACAAACAACTGATATGATATATATATATATATGTTCACTGGGGGGGAGGGGTGAGGTCACTGCAGTTTGCCGTCGAAGCTTTGACATTATACCGACAGATTGTACGTCTTACGACACCTCGACAATATCATCATTATAATGTAATAAATAAATCGTTATATAATAGACAAAGTTGATATGTACAACAATGTACGACGTTGTTACCAATTACGAGGGTGAAACTGAAACGACGACGCATACATGGTGTAATACAGCACCTCGTAAAGCGGGTGGGCTTATAAGAGACAAATCTCAGTTGGGCACGGCATATAATATCAAGGGTGGGTATTGCATATGTGTGCATATAATATGTACACACCACGGAAGCCCTGTGTAATTAGCCGATACGAGCTTGCAGGCCATTCTCCCGCTTTGAGTGCCGGAGGCGAGGGTAAGTAGTCGTGACGCCGAAATCCACCGATTCTCTTGGCACCCGCGCGGAATTGGCACGCCTTGTACGTAACGCCGGTGTACTCGTGATATTTTCTCCAGCAGGAAGAGAAGCAAGACGCGACAGCATCAACGAAAAGAACGTGTGTACACAAGGGGGTTGATGCCAGTACACATCTACACACAAGAGGGAATATACGTATCACCGGGACTGGTGTATGCATATTATACCCGTACATATATATATGTATGGCTTTCGTCCGTGCCGTGACCGCATGCTAATTATCCTGCGGTTACGCTGTACGAGTTTGGAGGGTGGGGGGAGAGAAAGCTCGCTGGTACAGAGGGATGCATGGGTATAAAAGATGCAGACGGCGCTTCGGACTTAATTGCTGGTGCGCCAGCCCGACCGACCGTGCCAGGGAGCGCGTGCATGCCACCCCCCAGCTCCTTTTTATTCTGCGTGAATGTCCGTGCACCGTTGCAATTTATATAGGAGCCGGGTAGTTCCCAGAGGAGGTAGGTATACTCCTCGACGCGTATAAGTATACTTACACCCATATATCGCTTTTGCCACTCTCTCCTTCTGACTGCTCTTCACGTGGTAATTTTGTACGCATAGATAATATATATATGTGTGTGGGTGTAAGTATATATACATGCACCCAGCAATATCAATTTACGGAATCTAAGGTGCATCACCGGGCAGGCTGTACAAGATATGGGAAAACGAGCCGCGAGCACGGCCCAGATGTGTAAGGGTTGGTGTGTGTGTGTGTGTGTGTGTGACGTACAGTGATGCATCTTTTCCATATGATATAATACACTCGCGTAGTTTTCGCCATACACCACCTCTCCCTCGATTGCGCTGATAATAGTCGCTTTGGTTGAGATAATCTGCTGCCGTGCACGCGTGTGTAGGTACGAAGAACATTAGGGTGTCCGTTGTTTCGCAAATTGAATCTCTCTTTTTCCCCCCTTCTTCAGCTCCCATATCTTTCGTAACGTTGTTAGCCACCGCGAACCCGGAAATTTGAAAATTAACTCTTGGCCCTCGCGCGCGTGCGTTTGTTTGACGAGCCGTTGTGTTTTTAATGAATTTTAATTGCACGTATCCACCCCTTTTGCACGACATCACTCCCTGTACGCCACTGAAGTATTTTTTCGAGCATAAATAACGAACGAATTTTTTTTTTTGTAAGTATCATTTTTATGACGATTCAAGTGAATTTTAAAGTATGAGAGTCGAGTGGAAGTTTTTCTAGTTTTTGAGCAATTATTTTTATTACATATCAACTTTGTAACGAAAATGTTGGGGAAAATGTAGGCCGTTGCAGAGAAGAAAAAAAAAAAAAAAAAAAATGCATTTTTCAACCTAGTATACGTTGTTTACATAGTACACTTGCGACGATTGTTATTTTTATACGCAACACACATAATACTTACTCGAATAGAACAAAAGTCCGTTGGGCTGTCGCGTTTTGAATTGGAAAAATACACCCTCCTGCGTGCTGAGGACCGGACTGCCCTTGTTGAGGTCGATGGTCAGGTACTCGGTCCCCTTGAAGGCCGCCTCCTGCGGAGTTTTACCTGAAACGAGGAGGAAGAAAAAAAAAAAAAAAGACACCAAGTCCTATTATTATAATCACGTGATGTAGCATCGCGAAAAAATATCATTGAATTAAAGTAAGAGATGTACCTAGATATACATCGACGTACACCACATACACCAGAGAGCGAAAGAGCAATCCTCAAATTACCACTCAATTAAATTTCTCGCGCCAAAAGGCTCGGAGGGGATGGGGGAGGAAAAAAAAAAAAAAAAAAAGAAAAAAACACGCGGCCCTCGTTATTTCTAATTTTTCCGCGCAGCGGAGCGCCCGCGATTAATAAAAGCCCTTTGTTAGCTCTAATGATTTGGCCGGGCGCCAATATGGACGTGCAGTGTATTACAGCGGGCCGGAACAACGTTGCGCGAGCGAAATTTAGTTCACCCCGCCGTGGAGTCAGGTATATATAAGTATATACATTTTAATGCCGATCGAAAAGTTCATTGCTTCCGCGGTGTAAGTATGTATATATGTATACGTATCAAGTGTAGTTGCGGTGTGTTGTATACGTACTTGTAGACGTCTATGTTGCATAAACATATAGGTATAATGCCGCGGTTGTCGAATTTTAATTGAATCACCGACGACTCCGAGCACTGCACCCGGAATGTGTTTGCGTTTGTGTATGCATAGGTCCGGGTATTATGCTGTACACAAGCGAATGTTAATTACTTTTAACATTCGACTAATTGCTGTAACACGAGTTTCGTTTCAGGCCCTCTTCTATACCCATATGAACTGTTTGTACTATACGGGCACGTACTGGTACGCGTGTGTTTATTACCACTGAGTGGTTGTTGATGTTGGCTCGGTTCTAGAAATTGTTCTCGTAAATTTTGCCAAGCAAAGTGTCAATATTGGTAGCAAAAAAACCAAAAAAAAAAAAAGTTAATTGGATCCATGGTGACGATTCGTTTATCGGAACTAAAAAGAGACAATCACGTACCGCGGTGCTTTTTACGTTCGTTACCGTTTGATTGCATTTGGCACGACCTCATTAGCCCGATACAATGCCTGTTTGCCCTTGTTTGCCTCGCGTTAAAGTTAACCCACGATTTGTATATATATAACACGGGACTGTTGATGATAGTTTTTTTTTTTTTTTTCTAGGAATATATTTCGTATGTACACGTCGACCCAATTGCAGGACCAATCGGTGCTTTTTTTTTTTTAATTTATTTCGTAACACGTAAAGGGTTGATTTTCAGAACAATGCGTTCTGTAATTTGTAAAACTGACGCGCTCTTGGGTAAGTAATCGACAGAGTGTCAATATTGCCTTTGAAGCGTATATACCTCTCGTTTGCTCTGCGTGTATGAGTTTATACACATATTATTGTATCATTAGTAGTAAGTTACCTCTTTGGCATCGAAAAATTTACATATGTATACGATGTACATCTATATATTTACCTTGACATTAATTAATTGTACAAGATGAAAATCGAGTGTTTGTTATTTATACGTCACAACGAAATGAAATTTAATACGTCTTCACGGGATATGAATATTAAGGAAAATATTATACTGTGTACATAACTATCGTCTAAGTGATGTGATGGTAGTCTGCGCAGTTAAGCATTGAGATTTGATTGTATGCAATGATTGCAAAGATTAAGTATAGGCACAAAGCGATTATTTTCAAATCAATGTAACAACTAGGTATGTGTATACATACGAATTTTACAACAACAACCAAAAAAAAGGTAAGCATGATAATCTACTTTGATCATTTATTCATTCAGATTTTCCAAAAAAAAAAAAAAAAAAAAAAAAAAGAAGAAAAAAAATAACAAATCATCATGTAAATGTATTATACGATACAGGTAAGATTTATGATTCAGTAAGCCGATCGTGGTATGTATATATCAAAACGACAAGCGCTAATATAATAACAACACCAACGCAAAAGAGAGAGAGAGAGAGAGAGGGGGAGGGAGAGAAATGGAAACAGAATGAAAAAAAACTCACTGTTCTTTCTTGACCAAATATCATCGGCACTTGCCGTCGGCAGTACTGTACTCCATGCTTCTTTTATGCGCGAATTAGAGAGGCACAACATACAAAAGAAAATAAGAAAACAAACGTCAAAAAATGACACAACGTATACATGTATGGTAAGCCATGCTACACAATAATGATCCTTAATGAAAAGTGTGTGGTATCTTAATATAGGTCACATAAACATCAACATTGGTTGGTATACATGATTGTCTGTTTTTTTAAATGGCACAACGAAAAAAAAAAAAAAAAAAAAAAAAAAAGAGCCAGCGTACAAGCGAGCATATACATGATATATTATAGGTATGCGGTTGATTCGGCACCCCACGAGTTGTGTGTACGGGTGATACGTTGTGGCGTCTGTAAATTAATTACTGTCAGCCAGCGCTCCAGCTGCCGCACGTATATATACACGATTCAGGCATATGACTTGCTTGCGACAACACTGCATACGTATAGTGTCGCGCATGTGTATGTTGTTGTTGTTGTTGTTGTTATCAAAATCAAACGAATAGGACATGTAAAATTGGAAATCCAAGCTATCGCAATTGGCAAAAGACGAGTAAAAAAGATACTTATAAAATCCACAACGAGCACAAACCGCGTATGCTTACATATACTTGAGAATGAGTAAAAAAAGGAAAAGACGCACAAAGATAAACAGCGAGAGAGACAAATAAATAGAGCGAGCTGACGCGAGACACGTATATACTTATCACGGTGTTTGTGTATGATGGCCAAAACATGAGGTGTAGATAGGGATGGTATAACGGTCAAAAGGGAGGAAGGAAGGAAGGACGCGATGATGGGCTTTTTCGAAGACTGCACATGCACGCAGGGGAAAACGGCAGTGGCGGGGAGGCTGCGATGAGCTTTTGGTCCGCGGCCCGAGTTGAATTTCAATCGTTAGCCGCAGCCGCAGAGTTGGCTGCAGTTGCATGGCCGTCGTTGTCGACGTCGCGTGTATATGAACCGCGGAGGGCTCGGGAAAATGGGGGTGGAAACACCGGAAACTGGGTCAACACTCGACAATCTTAGGAAAGGAGGGAAGCATAAGAAGAAGAAGAGGCAGCTCGGCTCGGCTTCGTGCATACACACGCGGCCGGATCCATTTTTAACGAGTACGTGTGACTGACTCGCCTGCTTTTTTGCCAAAAAAAAGAAAAAAAAAAAAAAAAAGAAAAAAAGGGGGTTGAGGTTGGTGGGCGAGGGAGCTTTGAATTCGAACGGGTAGGAAATCGTGCGCGCGCGTTGCGATGCTGGCTTGGAGGGTATACAATGGATCGCGAGGACGGAAGGAATATATGAGTTGGCTTTGTACATGTATACATATATAAAGCTATTGTGTATGGTGTATTGCAATATGAATGTGGAGGGGGGGGGGTGGTGGGATGAATACAATATTGTATATAATACGTACGTGCGGGTGGGTGGTACTCACCGTTTTCACAGTAGATACCTTCGTAGTCGCCGTTGCGGCACTCGCAGTACGGGCCGAGGTCTTTCGTCATGCAGATCCCGTTGTTCTTGCACGGGTCTAGCGTCAAGCACGGGTCGGTCTCGTTCGTGGCCAGCCGGTCCCGTTTGCTCTACAACGCACGAGTTACAGTTAACTAAATTCTATGATTTCCACTTCTAAACTAACAAGTGGGCAATTGACACGTTATAGTTGGGGTCAGTCGATGAATATATATTTTTTTTTTTTTTTTTTTTTTTTTTTTTTATCGAGCTTCAGCTTTCGATGACAAAAAATGACCTGCACGAAAAAAACCCCTTATACATTATAATTAAGTTAAACCTCCTCGCATTAAAATTATTCGTAGATTCATGCCGATTGAAAAAATCCTGCCATGGTTGGATTACCAAAAGTTTTGGTTTTTTGCCATTTTTTGCCGGGACAAGCGTATTGGTAACTTTTTTTTTTTTATCGATACCAACTTCGAAAATTAAGGACTTTTCGTAAGAGGCAGGTGGTGGGCGAACAACAGTTTTCCCCCCAAAAGCAAAACTTTTGATTTGTAATCGGGCGCAGATCGTTACACCTGCACGTTTATGTAATACCAAAAATGCATATAGCAGAGTCGAGAAGTCGCCTCAAGCGTAGAGGAGAAGGCGCAGAAAGAGGTGGTGGAGGAGCAGAAAAAGTATACAGCGGTAATGCGGTTGACCTGCTAACCTAATGCATCCAGGTCACGGGATGCGTTGTGTGTTTGTGGTGTCGTCCTCCACTGTACTCTGATGTACGGCATACGAGAACGAGATATACATATATGTATACATATAGATGGGCACACAGGTAAACTCTGGCTTGGTACATCTCATCTCTCTCTTCTCTCGAGCTCCAATATATCTATACATACATGTACGCTCTCTTGATGTGCATCGTCGGGGGTTTGGCGCATATACCTATGTGTAATATACACACATGCATATACATGTCCAATAATACAAAAACGCTTCGCGGTTATGCATATCGTACATCGTGTACCTATCTTATATTCAATGTACATTATATTATGTATACATGGGTACATCTATATGGGTACCTGCCATCGATCCGAGGATATTTCTGTTGGCTCGATTTGCCGAAGACGATGATATACATCGCGAGGAGATTAAGGGAGTATTTCATTAGTATTATCCTCGACGACTATATACATATAATATACACAAGGAGTAATAATATCAATATCGTCTGATCTGTATATATAATAGGGTGGTGCACCCGGTACAATGGAGTGCGGAATGATATTGTATTCGAAAGGGGGTGTATTTTCGGGTTTATACCACCACGAGGCGTATACACCGTAGATGCATGCATGTGCACCTACAAGCGATCTCGAGAATATGAGATTCGAAGCACGAGGAGATACGTTTTCCAGTCCAACTAGCACCTCATCCCTCCTGTCCTCCTCCTCCTCCTCCTCTTCGTCGACTTATCACAGATTCCACTAGCGCCAAGACAATCAATATAGTATAAGAGATGGCGTGGCTTCTATCTTTCTTGAGTGCATGTGTACACACGTACGTTGTTCTCGCATACTTTGTGTGCTCCTCCCTCGTTTTTCACGCTGCAGCCTCCATAATGTATATGTATATATTCTTATACATGTATGCCTATCGTCACCGAGACTTGTCAAATACGATTTCGTTTCTGAATAGGTGTACGTAGGCAATGCAAGGATTTCATTTTGATTTGTTTGCTCTTCTTTCCAGTCCCTCCACAGAGGTATTATCATGTGATATGCTTATTTTACGTCTGCCAGTGATGGCTTGTGACAAGTTTCGGGGTTTTGTACTTTTATCCGGAATTTCGATTTTTCGTACAAAAAATGTATCGGCGTGTGTTTGATTTCGGAAATTTTTTTTTTTTTTTTTTTCCAACAGAAAAAAAAAGAAACAATACTTTTTCCTCTGAACAACAGGTATTCGAGTTTTTCTGGATTCGGGTGATTTTTTTGTGTAGACGAAGAAAAATACTTGAAAAATCGTGGAATAAAATATAACGTCACCCTCGCAAACTTTGGGATTTTTTTTTTTTTGTTTACTTTTGCCTCTCTAGTTATAATAATCCGGAAAAAAAAAAAAAAAGTTTCCCCGCGCAAACTTTGGATCATAAAAGAAAGGGGAAAAAAAAGAAGGATCCCGTATTACTTTTTCAATACCGATAAAACGGAAAGATAAACATGACGAAAGAAAAAGTTGTGGAAACACAAAACGTCGATACAGGCGTCCCGTAATAAGCCTCGGGCTGCATTCAAATCCACAAATATATAGATATACATATATACTCGAGGGTACACCCCGCAACTGAAGTAAAAACACAATAACCCAATAATAACCGATGATGGTTGCACGCGTGACGCAAGCATCGTCTCCGGAAACTCATTTTTCCCGGGAATCCCGCGACAATGGCCATCAGAGGATCAAAGCCCTTGATACGCGCGTCATGAATCAGAAAAATAAATGGAATAGTCCACCCCCTCGGCCCCTTTTTCTCTCTTTGATTGTAAAAGTTAATCGTCCGAGGGATCGCGGTAGGTACAGGTGAATAAGAGCGCCGAGAGAAAAGCCGTGCATCCGTCAAGAGGGCACGGGAATAAAGGACAAAGTTGGCCAGCCAATCGTTCAGCCGTTTGTCGCGATATACCCTCGCTATATATATTATATACATGGCTGCACCGAGAAATGGCTATTAGCCATACCGCTCCGCGTCCTGTGGATACATAATATATACCTTTCGCACCTATACACGGGAGCTCCTCGGGCGCGAATAATCCGTAAGAAAAGTCTTTCTCCTCCTCCTCCCCCCCTCCCTTTATTCTTGTTAGCAGGTAGGTAGGTAGGTAGATAACTATTGTCTACCCTAGTCTCGCTGACAAAGGGCTTTCGATTATTTTCCTCCACACCCCCCCCCCCGTACCACCACCAGTGACGGTGGATACGTACACCCGCCATACCGCTCCAGGGCCCCTCTTTTGTTCGTGTCTCCCCCTCCAATCTGGAGTCTCTCCGAGCTTTTCTCCTCATTATACGCACCTTTTCTTTTGCTTCTCTCGTTTCGCGCGCACAAGCCTACCTACTCCGCCGGAAAATTGAGCGACTTTTCCCACACAGGTATACGCATGTAAGTGCAGTCTACCTGTGCTTTTTTTTTTGTTTTTTTTTTTTTTACGCGCTGAGAGGGTCAGGAGAAGAAGGGTGGAAGAAAGGGGGTGGGGGGTAGCGCTGCAAGCGTGCTACTTTCGATGATTTACGACGCCGCGCGCACAGAGACTAATTAGGGATCGATTAAAAAATTTCTTCCGACCGCGTGGGCCAATTGTGCTTTTCACCGAGGTATAATCGAGGCCAACTTCTTTCGAAATGGCCCCGAAGGTACAACGATAGGGTGGAGGGGGGGTTACAGGGAGAGGGGTGTACTTGAGGGCATATTTTTCACGCGAGCTAAGAGCAAAATGCTTTCGAGTCCATTGGATGCGTTATATGTATATATGTATGGGATCGATGTTGGAACATTTTTCATATCGATAAAACGTCATGTAGCTCCATTATTATCGTCACCGTCATCATCATCGTTATTATTATCATTATTATTATTATTATTCCCGCGTATATATAGGATCGGGTTATTGGAAAGGGATGGGGTGGGCCACGCAGTTTATCAGAGATCATCCATCACTCGCGGGTTAATCCGTCTTTTAAAGCTTTTTCTCTCGCATCACCGGCAGCATATATACATGTATATACCAGCCCCATAGTGGCAGTATATATACGTGTGTATGTAGCAGACAGCCATGATCTCGACCGGCCCCCCTCCCCCTATAGACCCGCCCCAATCTCTTTTTACTTCACCCACACCCCTATGTGTGCGTGTGTATACCATACCTTCCGTTCCCAGTGGACGCATCGGTGAAATATCGCGCGCTCGCGCACAAACACCTCAGGCATCGTCCTTGCCTTTTTTTTTTTTTTTTTTTTTTTCTTGTTTTTTACCCCCCGCTGTGCTCTATATAAAATATTCTCTTTAACCCAATGCCTGTCCTTTAAGGGTAACGTTTGAATCGGCTCTCCTTCCCTCCCTCACACTTTTCGTTTTCTCCCCCTTCCGATTTTTAAAACGATAACTTCTCCTCTTACTTCAACTGTTTGTTTGCCCACCCACACATATATACCATGTATATACAACCATACGCATGTATACGTTATATCATATCCCAAGTATACAAAAGTACAGTTTGCCATTGACTCGAGAGCTCTTTCTCTTTTTGCCAAAACGTAAATTTCGACTCGCTCGGATTCCCTCGTCCGCACGCCTGCATCACTCCGTACATTTTTGTTTTCTAAACTAAATAAATGTACACGGATATTATACACGCGTTTAACTCAAGGGGGCTGGGGAGGGAGTAGCTCACTACGACACGTAGGGCGCCCCAAAGTTGTACATTTTACGAACTTTGCGAGCCTGCAGAGTGCCAGGGGCAGTGGAATGGAATGAAATAAAGTGCCCCCCCCCCCCATAGCCCGTATAACATGTACTTAAAATCTCGTCGTTACGTGATTGAGTGCACTGATATACATTTTGTACGTGCACGCGGGGTGGGATGAAAAAACGGAATGATGGCCGGTGTAATAAAACGTCGAGTGAAAGCTGTACGTGTAAATGTTATATATATATAGGTAATGAAAGGAAAGAAAAATTAAAGTAGGGCTCAGAGTGAAATTGATAACAGTAAGGTGCGCGTGCGGTTCGAGAGAGTATATAATTTATGCGGTACGCGTTAAAAGAAAACCAAGGGTGGTTGGGTGTGCGAGCGAGCGGACGAAATATCAGTCACTGCCATATATAGCGACAGATCGTGTATGCAAATGAAAACCGGGCTATGTGTATATAATAATATACGGTATACGCGAGGACGACGCACGAGCACCCAAATCTAACTTTGGAGCAAGTATGGAATAAGAATGAGACAAAAGGAGGAGGATGAAGCGCGCGAGAGAAAGGTATAGAATATTGGTTTTTTTCGCAAATGGCTAAGAGAAATGTGTATACGTATATAATTTTACAAGGGGGATACCTGTATGATAC